ACAAAGCACAGAAAGGGAGATGGTATTCTTGATGCAGGATCAGTGACCACTAGTGGAGCTGCATTCACTAGATAAGTTATCAGCAGTTGCCACTTCTTCTCACCATTTATATTGTATATATGCTACCACCTTCACTTTGTAAAACTGCTTAAGGATGGATCCTGATTTCCTAACCCTAAGATGTACTCCCTACTCCCAACACTCTTCTGTCTTTGCTAGCAATTGTTTAACGTGAATAAGAGAATCTCTTCTGGCCTGGATTTTAGAGGTTTTTTTCCTCTCCTTCCATCACTTTCCATCTCCTCTAAATCCAATTATGTTAGTACCTCAGACATTGCAGAGAGGAAGACTAAACTCTGACACACTTAGAAACCACTAAAAACAGTTTTGTTGCTCAGATCCTTAACAGAGGTCATTGGAAATACGCGTCTTTCCAAATGTTTAATTCAGTGGAATTTCACTATTCCAGAACTGGTCAATCCAAGTGACTCAGCTAGCCAGTTTCTGGCTGACGCCTTTGTTGTTTTTGTTGCTGATGTAAGAGTTTTGGGTTTCATATGTACTCTTTAGAGTTATTTCTTTTAGTTTGTCTTGTGCTAAAATAATTTTTTAAGACAGAATCACAGAAGTTTTATCTTTAGAGTATAGGCTGCGGTAATATAGGTAACAAAGTGATGTTACCATTTTTGAAGTAGTGAATTTCTGGAGTGTGGCTTTTTCCATGCAGCTTCATACCATGATTTTGAACGATTATATTTCAGAAAGTCCATTTGGGGAACACTGTGTTCAGTTTCTCCCTAAAATGATGTAGTAGACGCTCAGCTTTGCAGCTAGCTGAATTCTGTTCAACCTTTCTTATGTGCTTTGACTGACTGGTTAGGCTTCCCAGATAACAAGTGAAGAAGTGGTCTTGCTTCCTAATTTTATTTACCTCATTTGTTCACACTTCACTTATATTTAGAAGGCCTTTTTTTACTAATCATTAGAGATGGAGATTCTGTTTGTTAAAGGAACTCAGGCTTGTGTCCTCAAGAGATGTTGGCTGTCAGGACTAGAAGCTCCCTTTGGAGCTCAGCTAAATGATCTAATCAAACCTAAATGACCCTTCTTATAATATACAGTTTTCACTCTCTTACAGAGAAGGGGTATTTTTTTCCCCCTCAAATATCATACTGCTTCTTCTTTCAGGACAGAATGCTTCTGTTTTGGTGGCAGCCTTGGAATTTTGTTAGGTAGATTTCTGTATTTGCCATTGGAAGTTTTTGCAGCAAAATTCACTGTGAAAGAAATGGAAAAATCACTTTTTTTTTAATGAGGTTAGTTCTTTGAAAACAGGCAAATGATTTGGGGACCTACTCTGCACTTGGCCTGAACTTAACTTCTAATGCAGAGAAGAAAAAATTTGAGCCAGATCATCAAACTGATCCAATTTGCCTTATTGTTGTGTGAGTGCAAGTGTCAGCATGAAGGGAGGGGGAGGACAGGACTAACCTTTTGGAATCACCGTAGTGGTATATTGCTTGCAGCAGTTCTGAGGTGGTGATTTCTGAAAAAAATTAGTGAAAGAATAAATCTAGTGCATTCTGTGGACAGGGTAGGCTGATGGTATAGTGAGTAAATGTCTTGTATTGCCACAGCTTGTTTTGCTGAATTTATGTTGCAAAAGAATAAAATACCAAAATTCTCAGCGGCGTAGTAATTTTTTCTATTAAGAAGAACTTTTCTGGTGATTCACTGCTCACGGCCAGCTCCGTCACCCATAGGAGGTTTATCTGAACTGCACATTAATTGTACTGTGAATACTT